AGCCTGCCTGTGGCTTTTTTTTTTTAACTTGGTATATTTGTGTCACCTATCTTCTTTACAACAGGAATGCCTTATTTTTTTTTGTAATATGAAAGCAATTTTATTTAAGAAAAGGTTTTATTGGATTTAGCAACCCAGGCGTAATGTTAACAAAACCATGTCAGCATAGCAGTTGGGAGGAAACTCTTTGCAATAGGTCAACGGTGAAAAAGACCTTCCCAAGGGGAGAGAGCAACTGCTCTCTGCTTTTTCAAGAAGTTTGCCTGTGAAAAGGCAGGAGAGAGTCAGTAGCCGAAGGGCTCAGAGAACAGAAGGAGCATGAGAAAGACACAGGCAAGGTCAGGGGCTGGAGAAAGGTAGTTGAGGGACAGAGGGGCCAGGTGCAGGGATTCACCAGAAAGAGAAGGAGGGACACTCGTCACGCAGACCCTAGGAGGGAGGAAGAAAGTGTGTGTATAAGTTCAGGCAAGTCAGTCGGCTGGAGGGAGCCCTACATCTTCCTTATAAAGGAGGTGCAAGTCCAAAATGGTCAAGTTTAAGCCTTCGGGGTAGCAGCTCTGAAGAAGCCTTTAGACAGGCAAGGGGGAAAATTCCCAGCCCGTGTTCCAGAATCGCTGGGGAGAGCCTGGACTTGGAGTCAGAGTCCGAGGACAGACCTCATAGCTCCTCTGTGGGAACACCTCCCAAGTGGGGCTCCTGGATTTCCCCTTGGCAATCCTGGGTCAGAAGTTCCCCCAAAAAGCCTGCTTCAGTTTGTTCCTGTCCAACAGCTCCAACTTCTCCAAGCCCTGAGTCACAGTGGAGGCATCAGCAGCCACTCCAGCATAGGCGGCAGCTACAGCAGGTGAGTGAGTCGGGAAGGCTGTGGGGACACAGGTGGGTCTTGGAAACTTCTGTGTCCTCCTCCGAGTCTCCTGAGAACTGAGGTGATAAATTGCAGAAGCTTAGAGCACCAGATAACCAAGTGTCCTCCGAGGCAGCCCAAGAACAAATAACTTTCTGCAAGAATGTCCTACGGTGGCCTCTAGTCACAGGTGACTATCAAGCACTTGAAACGTGGCTAGTATGATCAAAGAACAAAATTTAAATTTTTAAATTAATTTAAAGTTAAGTAGCCTCCAATGTTTAGTAGCTACCCCATTGCACAGAACGAGTAGAATCTCCTCACTTTCCACAAGACCATATCAAGGTGCAGACAGCGATGACTCATCCAAGCTCACCCTCAAGCCCACCGAGCAGAGCAGAACCATGGTTGGAAGCCGGTCCTTTATTTATCCCACCATCCCTAAGCTCAGTGGAAATGAAATTAATTTTTCAGTCAGATGAATCAAAAAGTGGGTTGGTTAGAAAATGTCAAGTCTAGGTCTGGACAGAGAGGAGACTAGCAGCACTCAGAAACCTGAGACTGAGACCCAAGCCCTGGTTGCCATGCAGAATAAAAACCGCTCGCTTCTCCTCTGCCCAGCCTGATGATTCTATCATTGGCCTCATTTTACAGATGAGCAAACTGAAACTCAGAAAGGAAGTCACTTGCCCAGCGTCGCTCAGGAAGGGGACAGGGTTCATTGAGCGTTCCTAGGGGCTGGTGAATTAGGATTCCTTCTGATGGTAATCAAAAGCAAATGTGACAAAATAAATTCTTGTTGTCACTCAAGTTTTCAAAAAGGTACTTGGCTCTGGGGGAGTGAAAGATGAGACTGGCAAAGGGGGCTCCCATTGTGGGCGGGATTCTCAAAGGAATGTGGGGGTAGGGGAGAGGGTGGGGTGAAGAGCAGAGGCATCTGGTCCGGAGCTGGAGCTGAAAACTACCAGAAGCTTAAATTCCTTCTGTTGTCTTAAGAGCGGTTCCCCTTTAAGACGTGAAAGACCATCCAGGGCAGGAGGGCAGCTGGAAAGTAACCACTGGGAAACCCAAGGCAGCTGGAGTGAGGGGACAGACAAGTCAGCTGAGATCAGGGTAACAACAAAAGAAATCCATGGGCAAACTATTTCCATGATGTGGGCCTCAATTTCCTCAGCTGTGAAAGAGGAACATGGCCCAGGAAAAGCACGGGTCCTTTCCCAGTATGAAGCCCACCTGTCCATCGAATGACTAGTTACCAAAAAGCTGACCTGGCAATTAATTAATCAACTTATCAAAAACACCCTGCACATTTATGGCTCCACCCCAGAAATGAGTAATCAAATCCACCACGTACTTCCTCCACTGGGTTCTCACCACTCCACCCAGTCAGCCGCTTGATCTCACTTCTGAAGGTGTCCGCAGGTGAAAAACCTAGAAACTGGGTAAGTCTTGGCATATCCACTCTTGCCACCACCCAGAAGTTCTCTGTTTTCTTTCTCTCTTTAAGCCTCCTGACCCCTAGAGGGTCTTCTCTGCTCCCTCTGTGAACAACTCACAGCAGCTCCTGCCCTTGCCATTACAGCCTCGAAGAGACCAGGTCTGAGCAAGAGCTGGACACTGCCGTGTTCCTTCTCCCCTGTATTAAATGCAAATGTGTGTGTGGATTGTATTTATACAGAGAAAGAAAACTGGCACTGACTGAAAAACCGAATGTGCTGTTGTTAAAAAGATTGCCTTAAGTGTTTAGGTTCTGATAAATGCCTCCACTCTGTAGCATTTTCGTGAAATAAATCAGAATGATCCCATCTACGGAGTTTCTGAACTACTTAAGTCTTAAGGGACTGGCAGATTTGCTGAACAAGGGGAATTTTCCTGCTAGGTTTCCGAAAGCAAGTCTGGGTGGCCCATAGGGACGAGCCAGGTCAAGGTCATTTGGTTTAGCACTCCTGCAAATTTCTTTAGATCTGGGCCTATGGAATAGCAAAGAAAGCAATGCATAGAGCGTTCAGCAATGGAAATTAACTATACACAGGTGGATTTAAAGCAATCTCAACAACTTAGCTTACAAGTGATTTTCCTATAGGATGTGTGCTTTTGTGGAGAAGCATGTCAGCAGACTGAACATAGAGCCAGAGCCATTGACACATCTTTGCCTCCTGGCCGCACAGCACAGGGCCTGGTTTTTGAGAATCTGCTGTCTTCAACAGTCAGCAGAGGCCAGACAGCTGGGTTTAGATGTGTCACCTCCCTTTTCTTAGTTTCTCCCTTTAACTGTCAAAGCATCCTTTCTAGAGATTAGGAAATTTATAAGCAAACAAACAACAAAACATCCTCCCATGACAGGAGATTGTTGACCGGCCTGGTTCTCTTTTCTGAGTTCTCTATGGGGGGTTATTCCACTGCCCAGCTCTCTCTTTTCTGAAGTGTGGCTTGCATGGTCTCTGGCCAGGACCCCCAAGCAGACCCTTCACACTGCAGTGTGAGACCACCCGCCACCCAAACGTCTCCTGCTCAGCTAAGCCCTGGACTATCCAGTGAGGACTTATCTATGACATATTTACACACTGCTATCTGCTCCTGCAGCTGCCCAGTCCTGCCTCTCACAACTGATGCCCATAAACACAGGGGCTATCCCCTGCTCCCATCTTGATCTGCTTCTGTACTCAAATGTGGGTCTTAAGAACATTCCTGATCATCTCTTCCATTAAGAACCTCTCTGATCACCTGCTCTCGGGATGACTCACCCTTGACTTCATGACTTCATTAGACATAACTCTGGTCCTCTGAGAAAACTTGTTCTGAGCTCTGGATCTGAGAGGCCATTGACTTCATTCAGATTTTGCCGACAGCTCTGCACCATCTGCCTCTCCCACTGTCACCACATCCTCCCACCACAGGCAGCTGGGCTCGGCTCTCATTCTCAAATCTTTCTAGGTCTCACTGTGCTGACAAGGCAGTTTAGCTGTCCTTGGTCATGTAGGACAGAAAGCTAAGTGCCTTCCCGGCAAGGTGATGGCTAAGAAATCTATCACTTTGGGGGGAAATGGGCAATGTTTTTCCAGTTCCTCCTAATCCCAATTCAACTGTCTTCCTTCCTGTATAGGATTGACAATAATAAACTTTCTTCTACTAATGAAAAAAGTTTCCCAGGACATTGTTAGTTTAACATTTGTATTTGCTTTGAAAGGATATATATACCCTTTGGTGGAGATGTAATTCACACACCATAAAAGTCACCCATTTAATGACGATCTAGTGGTATTTAGTATATTCACAGTTGTACAGCCATCACCACTATCAAACTCCAGGACACTTTCAAAAAGAAACCCTATACTCGGTAAATTCTCCTTGCCCCTTAGCCCCAGGAAACCACTTATCTTTTTCTATCGCTACTGGTTTACCTGTTCTGATCATTTCACTTACATGGAAGCCTTTTGGTGGCTGATTTTTTATTCTTTTCTTTTTTTGCTTAGAATGCCATTTTCAAGGTTCATGCATTTGCAGTATGTAATTCATTCCTTTTTATGGTTGAATATTCCATTGTGTGTGTATACCATTTGTTTATCTGTTTGCCAGCTGATGGATATTTGGATTGTCTCTACTTTTTGACTAGTATAAATAATGTTGTTGTGTGTACTCATGTACAAGTCTTTGTGTGTGGCCATTTTCATTTTCTCCTGGGTTATATATTTGCAGTGGAATGGCTGGATCATATGCTACCTCTATGTTTAAATTTTTGAACAACTGCCAAACTGTTTTCCAAAGTAGTTGCACCAGTTCACATTTCCATCAGCAATATATGAGGGGGCTGATTTTTCCACATCTGTCATAGTCTTTATTGTCCATTTTTAAAATATCATCATCATTCTAGTAAGTATGAAGTAAATTCCTAGGACTTTCTACTTCCTCCTTTTCTCTTTAACATTTGTTTTCATTTTCAGGTGGGTCAAAGACTTGGGTATGGTCATAGGGTGATGCTATCTGGTAATAAAGAAGTGGCACTATCTCCATGTACTTTGTGGTTAAAAAGGAAGTTAATTAGGTAGCTAATTTATATAAATTTACTTCATCTTTGAAAACTGAGATAAGAGGTCAGAATGGCTGTAGCTTTGCTAGAAGTAGGTTTCTCCTACCCTTCTAACAAGGGAAAGAGCCCAACTGGTTTACATGAGGGTAGCAGGGTGCTGGGGAGTCAGAAAGGATGAAGGCATGCAGTGGCAGGACAAGAAGGGTTCCCACTGAAACAGGTAAAATGTCTCCACCTGTCTTCTCTGCTTTCTGTTGCCCCCAACCCAACATGCTAGGAGTACTCTGGCTTTCTCTGCTCACCCCTCACGGCACTTCTACCCACTTGGAGAAAATCAGTCACCACCTTATCATTTTAGTATACTTTTAGTATATTTTTTTCAGACTACACAAACACGCCCAGAGCAGGTGTCCTGTAACCTGCCCCCAAAATGGTGGACTGTGTCAACTGAAAATGTGCCTCTTGCTCAAGCATTCTGAAATGCTATGCTCTATCACACAAACTGCCTTTCTGAAAAACTTCTATTAAAATTACTTTCAGAAAGTTGGACAGAGGGATTCAACTCTCAGCTTTACAGTCAAACCTTCATCATGTTCTTGGATTCCAACCCAGTTGGATTGCCTGCCTGGTCTCCCAGGCAGACTGAGAACTGAAAGTGTTTCCAACTTTAAATGCAGCCTCAACTGTCAGAGATGCTCACCATTAAGCAGCACGGAGACATCCAGTAGTCCTGGAGGGATCCAGAGGTACATTTCAACTAATTTTGCGTGATGACATCATAAGACGCACTAAGGACCTCTCTCTCTCTGTCATTGAAGGGAACTATACTCTTCATGAGACAGATCATTGACCCCTAAATATGTCTCATAACTTTAGAGCCCCATTTCCTGAAGGGAATTTACTTCCATGTGCTATACAAACTAGTGCAAGGACTTCTACTTGAGGTAGGAGTGATAGGAGTGACAGGCTAGAATCTGGGGAAATTTCACTGCACAGTAACCACATCATCTCTCTTCCCTAGGCCAAGATTTAAGTTTACCTCAAATATGGAAGATTTTAACTGGGAGAATTACAGCTTGGAAGACCTCTTCAAAGACAGTAATTACAGTTACAACACTGATTTGCCCTTTATTCTACCAGACTCTGCCCCCTGCTTTCCGGAATCTCTAGATATTAACAAATACGCAGTGGTTGTTATATATGTCCTGGTGTTCCTGCTGAGCCTGCTGGGAAACTGTCTGGTGATCCTGGTGGTCTTATGCAGCCAGCTCAGCCGCTCTGTCACCGACGTCTACCTGCTGAACCTGGCCATAGCCGACCTCCTCTTTGCCTTGACCCTGCCTATCTGGGCCGCTTCTAAGATGAAGGGCTGGGTCTTCGGCACAGCCTTGTGCAAGCTGGTCTCGCTCCTGAAAGAGGTCAACTTTTACAGCAGCATCCTGCTGCTGGCCTGCATCAGTGTGGACCGCTACCTGGCCATTGTCCACGCCACGCGCACACTGACCCAGAAGCGGCACTGGGTCAAGTTCATATGCCTAGGCATCTGGACCCTGTCCTTTATCCTGTCCCTGCCCATCTTCATCTTCCGCAGGGCATTTGACCCACCCTTTTCCAGCCCAGTCTGCTATGAGGACATGGGGGCTAATACAACAAAATGGCGCATTGTTTTGCGGGCCCTGCCTCAGACCTTTGGCTTCGTCCTGCCACTACTGGTCATGCTGTTCTGTTACGGCCTCACCCTGCGCACGCTGTTTGCCACCCACATGGGGCAGAAGCACCGGGCCATGCGGGTCATCTTTGCTGTCGTGCTGGTCTTCCTGCTCTGCTGGCTGCCCTACAACCTGGTGCTGGTGGCCGACACCCTCATGAGGATGCAGGTCATCAAGGAGACCTGCGTGCGCCGCAACCACATCGGCCAGGCCCTGGATGCCACCGAGATTCTGGGCTTCTTTCACAGCTGCCTCAACCCTCTCATCTATGCCTTCATTGGCCAGAAGTTCCGGCACGGCCTCCTCAAGATCATGGCCAGCCACGGCATGGTCAGCAAGGAGTACCTGGCCAAGGAGGGCAGGCCTTCCTTTGTTAGCTCTTCTTCAGGGAACACGTCAATTACCCTCTAAGACCCCACCCCGTTGCAGCCCCTCAGGCTCCTCCCTGCCTTTCAGCATCCCCCGCCAAGGCTCGTGGGCACTGGCAGATCACAGCCTCTGTGCCAAGGCAGCCCTCACTGTGGTCACGGGAAGTTGCTGAAGCCATATCCTTACCAGGCCTGGTTTAGGTTTACCACCCTTACCAGGTATGGTTTAGAAAGCCAGCCTGGTGCCCCACCCCTTATGTGTAACTACTGTGTCAACTGCTAGAGCTCTGTCCTTCCTACCTCTGAGCCCACTGCACTGTCTTTGGGCTACTTTAAGGACATTCTTTGAAGTGACTGCAAAATATTCCCACAGCTGGGAACTATCCATGGCAAACGCCTTGGGTTTCCTTGTCTGTTAGGGAAGTCTGCCTCCCAAGAGAGGGGCCAAAATGACAGACACTCAATTTCTAGGACTCCCCTTAAGCTAGAAGTGACCATATTTCTGGGGTGCATCTGCTATGGAAAACAGGGTGACAATTCCTCAAAAAAAAATTAAAGACAGACTTACCAAGTGATCCAGCCATTCCACTTCCAAATATACACGCCAAAAAAAAAAAAAGCAGACTTGTGTAGATATGCATACATACATGTTTGTAGCAGTATTATTCATAAGAGCCAAAATGCTGAAATCATGTGAATGGTGATCTACAGAAGGATGGCTGAGCAATGAGTACTGAATACATACAATGGAATATTATTCCTTCTCGTGAGGGAATGACATTCTGATATAGGCTACAACATGAATGAAGCTTGAAATTATGCGAAGGGAAATAAGCCAGACACAAGCATTGTATAATTCCAAGCCTAAGAGATGCCCGGAATAGCCAAATTTATAAGACAGATTAGCAAGTGGTTGCCAAAGGCTGAGGAGTTATTGTTTAATGGATACAGAATTCAGTTTGGATGATGAAAAGTTTCCAGAGTGGGATCCTGGTGTTGTCTAACAACGTGAATGTACTACACTGTAGCTTTTAAAATGGTAAATTGCATGTTATGTATATTTTACCACAATTTTTAAAAAAAAGAAACTTAATTCCCAAAAGGCAAGTTTTAACTTCTGAATCAACCCTGGAATCACCTTCCTATACATTTGATTTATGTGACATAATTAAATGGTGTTTTTGTATAAACCACTTTTAGCTGGGTATTTCATTACTGTCGATTAAAAGCACTCAATGTTTATGGAGACATTGGTCAAGGGTGAGTGGGAACTGGGGTACAGTATAGAGGTGCAGAGGTGGGTGGTGATGAGGGATTCACTAGACATAGAGTGGGAAGTAGAATAAACAGATCTACTAAAACACACTGCTGAGGGAAGCAGCAGTTGAGACAGGAAAAGTCTGCTGCGCCACATGGGTCACCTCCCTGGCCAGGGATCAAACTGGTGCTACAGTGGATTCAGATAGCTACAGGGCAGTTCTCGAACCTCTTGTGCCACCAGGGAGGGCCCCTTCTGCTGTTTATTGGGCACATAGAAAAAGGGATTGAAATTGAGATGGCGCTTGGCCTTCTGCTATGATCATCCCTAGCCCAAGCCTCCCACTTCTGGACATGTGTCATGGAAGAAAACGTGGCCCAGGGTCATCAATGTCTTGAATGTCTTGAATGTCTTGAATGTCTTGAGAGTGAAAAGTTGTCAAGAGCATCCAGGGCGGGCCTGAGGAGGGCTGGGTGAGCTCGCCAGTCCCACAGTGCAAAACAGAAAGGCTGAATATGGTCCTGAACTCAACCAGCAACTCCCAGCTTAGTCTCTCTGGCACTCTCCTCTCTCACGCCCAGCGCACACACACACACACACACACACACATCATTCGGGGTTTGGCAAAAGGGCAGTCGTGCAGAATGGGGAAATGCTTTCTAAAATGTCATCCAGACAAAACAAAGAGCTTGCCTCCTTCTTTCTGCAATATTTACTGAATGCCTACCATTCCAGGGTTTTGAGATAACAGCAACAATCTAAACAGACCGGGCCTTTCCCTGTCTGAATGCCTGTTCACAGGTTTGTCTCTGGTTGGTCTTGGTTAGGGTGGCTCTGCTCTGAGCAACCTGCTAAGGAAGCAAGGCCAGGAAACTGAACTCAACAGTTTCCAAACCCCACTGAACTTTTACCAGGTTCCAAGGCCCTTCCTGCTAACAAGTAGCGGATCCTAAAGTCAGCAACCTTGGTGCTAAAAAGCGGATCCTGAAGTCAGCAACCTTGGTGCTAAAAAGCCTCCTTCCCAGCAAGGCGGGAGCAAACTCAGGTCTGGAGGGCCCAAGAGCAGACACCTGCCACTCTTAACTCAGGAAAGCTTCGCTTTTTGCATTCAGCAGCCAGGATTAATTCAGCAACAAGCAACCCTTGTTTCTAGCTCGCTTTATGCCAAGCACTGTGCTAAGCTCAGGATCAAGGGTATCTTAGCTGCTCTGGCTGACACTTCAGAACAGCTTCTGATTCAGCAGGAGAGAAAGGCTGAGAGATGTGTTTTTACCAAACACCTGGGTTGCCAGAGGGAGCAGTGGTGCTCTCCTGAGGCTCCCTGCGATGAGTGTCAGTGGAAGGAGGCCAAGCGAGTTTCATTCTGCTCTTGCCTCCCCTTGCAAGGGCTAGAGAAAGCGTGACTCTCCAAGGAAAATGAAAGCGTGTAATGAGGCAGAGCAGTGAGGCAGAGACCAAACTGCATTAATGTGAGTGCTGTTAATCTCTCTCCATAAAGATGGTCTTGGCAGGTTACTCTACCAGCCAAGCCATCACCAGGACGAGGCAAAGCCAGGACCTGCCTAAGCTGATGTCTCCCCTCCGAGGTTTCCAGGCCTGACTTCCACTGTGTAGGGGCCAGCACCTTTCAGCTCAGGCCTGGCTGCTCACTCTGAGCCGGCCGCTCTGACACCCTTAAGCCTGCTCCTCTACTTACACTGGCTGCATTTTCCTCTGCTCCCCACTCCTACCCCTGTTTTCCCCTTCCCCATCTCTATGGGATGGGCTTCTTTTGCTAATTCAACTGGATCAGCCTCTGGTCTCCTGGCTGATAGGAAGAAGTGACCCCAGTTTGCAGGTCATGTTGAAACTCATCTCATGGAGACCCACGTAGAGAACCGCACCCCCAGACAACAGCAAAGCCAAAAGAGACCTAGAGATCACTGGGGGCCACCCCTTTCAATACGTAAATGGAAAGTTCAGCACAGTGAAGAGATAGAGAGCCAAAGTTTCTGACAGACAGGAACTTCATGGTGAGCCCTAGTGAGGTTCATGAACCCCCAAAAGGGTCAGAGAAGTCGCGCCGCTGGGGGGCACGGTAAGCTTTTAGAGGGCATGGAAGTTGTTTTTCAGAAACTGATTCATCAAGGACACTTACCAGTTCCCGGCATGTAGGCAGCTCCCAGTCTTTCAGAAGCTCAAGCTCAGGAGTCTCCCAACATGCAGACAGTAGCACTCCCAAGTTCAAGGTTCCCGTCCCATCTTTACCCAGGTGCCTTGACCTTACAATAAGTAAGGAAACAGAGACCCAAACCAAGCAATTTAAGCAAAATCTCATGGCTGGATAGTAGTGATACTGGCATTTAAAAAAAAAAGTTCAGGGCCCTCCCTGGTGGCGCAGCGGGTTAAAGCACTGCATTAAGAAGCTTAAGGCCACTTCCGCATGAGTTCGATCCCTGCCTGCCCGGAGGAGATCCACATGGCACTGCAGACCTCTCCTGACCCGCCCGCTGCTCCCCTCAGCAGTGTACTGCATTGATCTGCCTGTTCTGCTCCCCGCTCTGTCTCTGGTGAATCTTCTCACCCTCCGCATTTCTGGCCTGTACCCGGTTCTGTATAAATAAATAAATCTTTAAAAAAAAAAAAAGTTCAGTTTGATTTGTCAGATATTTTGCTTTTCTGATGACTTTCCATATCATTGAACGTGGATATTTCAGCATCCCACCCTGGGGCCAGGTTCCCTCAGTGCCCACACCACACTCATCTGTGCCTGGCCCTGAGGTTGCTGGAGCCTCAGCAGCTGGGACTTAGGGGCACAGGTGTGGCAGCTGGTTCTGAGGGGGTACCCGTATACTCAAGTTCAATCTGTCAGTAAAGAGATAGTCAGAGCCCGATGCAAGGTTCAAAGACAGCCAAAACTAACCCCTCGATGAGGACACATGCTCTGTAACGCTGAGTCCAGCTAGAAAACCGAAGCCTCTAGGAGAAGGGATTCATTAGAGGGTGGACTGCACAGAGGTGGGAGAGCTGGTTAAAGGTCTTTTCCTCTGGTGACATCATCTGAAAGTAGCAGGACAAACAGCCAAGAAGGAGAGACGGATGTGAATGGAGAAGAGCGAGGAGAAGCCGACACCTGCAAGGACAGACTGACACGTGTGATGGTCACTCTGAGCCTCCAGATTCAATGTGTGGGTGACCTTCTGGCCTCCCTGCATCGCAGAAGTCTGTTCACACCTGTAGCCAAGGGCCACAGACCCTGGCCCAGGCCAATAAGGCAAGATAGCAGATAAGCACCAGCTTGTAACAGAGTCTGGTGCCTGGCTCCGAGCTTCCAGAGCACAAAGAAAATGGCTGCTGCCCCCATTTCTACGTCCCAAGTCTCACACATGGTCTCTTCTGGCCACTGATAACCTGGAGCTGTGCACAGCAGACTTGAGGAAACCCATCCTAACTACTTTGGCTCAGAGTCTTCCACACAAACATAGGCACAGACTAGAGAAAAGGATTATCACAGAAATTTGGATGCATTTTAACTTAAGTTTCCACCTGTTGGGGAGGAGACTTGGCTGCTGACAACACTCTCCTTCTCCACCTGGCTCACAGATACCTGGGACGCACGATTACTCTTTAAACCATAAATATGAATTTTCTACAATTTTCTGTAGCACATGTACTATTCACAATTAACATGCGTTTAAGAATTATAATAAAGAAAATACATGGAGAAAGTTTTTAGAAAGGCAGACAACTCTCATTTCCAGGAACCAGGGCAGGCAGTCAAGTGGGGTCTCCTATATCCTATAGTTTTAAGGGCAGAATTCACCAGGTTAGGAGAAGATTTTATCATCTACTGTCATTAGGAGAGCAAATAGGTACAAACTTTAGGGAAGACATCTTGATCCTATCTATTTTAGTGCACATACTCTTTGGTCCAGATATATTTCTAACAATCTGGTCTCTTGAAACACCCACAAGGTAGCCAGATGTATATAGGATCTTCCTCGCAGCATTATTGATACAAACCAAAGCTTAGAAACAACCCAATGGGGCTTCCCTGGTGGAGCAAGGGGTTAAGTCTCAGCATTATGAAGCTATCTGCAGCCACTGAAGAAAGGGTTTGATCCCCAGCCAGGGAAGTGACCCCCATGGCACAGCAGACCTCTCCTGCCTCACCTGCTGCTCCCCTCAGGACTGTATTTCAGTACATCTGACTGTTCTGTTCCCCACTCTGTCTCTGGTGAATCCTCTCAGCCCCCACTACTCTGGCCTGTACCCCTGGGTTCTTGTATGCCCATAAATAATAATAAAAGAAACAACCCAAATATTCATCCATAGGGAATTGATTTATCTGTAAACCATGAAGGTACAGGCACCCCCAAAAAATACATGGGAGGTAGCGGTTTTCATTACATCATTAAAGACATGATTCTCAGTGGGAGGAGGCAAAATAGAAGTTCACATGTCACCGGAGTCCATTTACATAAAATGTACAGGAAGGCAACTCTCTAGGGACAGAAGAAAGTAGATGAGAGCTGCCTAAGACTGGGGAGAGGAGTGAGAGCGGTTGCTAACAGAGTTCTTTTAGGGGCAATGGAAATGTTCTAAATCTAGGTTGTGGGAATAGTTGCATAACTCTGTACATTTGCTTTAAAAAGTCTCTGAATTATATACTTACAGACAGGTGCATTCTATAATGAGTTCATTAGATCTCCATAAAACTCTTCTTAAAAAGAATCCCGGCCCTCCCTGGCAGCGCAGTGGGTTAAAGCACATTCGAGATCCCCACCTGCCCAGAGGCGACCACATGTCGTGACAGACCTCTCCTGACCCGCCCACTGCTCCCCTCAGCAGTGTACTTCGTTGATCTGCCTGTTCTGCTCCCTACTCTGTCTCTGGTGCATCTTCTCACTGTCCCTG